TGGGAAAACTAATATTATACAGCAGAGGCGAGGAGATTTTTATATGATAAATGAGCTAAACAATAACTCAGTTTCATTTGCGATAAACAATTCAATTTATGACAATTCATTCAATCGCTTACACTGTAGCTCTGTAGCGTAAGAGGGGGAGGCGCTTGACAGACAAAAGAGCAAGAACAGAGTTAATTCGAATATCAACTCAACTTGTCTTCAGGCTCGCACGGCGCAGCCCCGAATCGAATCGCAAATAGTTACATAACTTGAACAAACAAACCACACCAGGTATTCTTCACTCTCTCTCCATATAAGACGATTACGGTCATTACACCTCTTAAGCTCAAACTGCAAATTTGAAACCAGTCTACCTGTTATGCATTCAGTCATTGTTTAACTTCATTTTTAATTTATAGACCTCGTCAATTTTTTGCACAAAAATTTCTTCAGAAAAAAATTTTCTGTTATCATTTTTCTCGTGTTCTTTTCGTCCGTTTTTGTATTGTTTTGTGACAAAAAAAGACAACTTGTCATCATGTGTAACCGCAGCAGGCTGCCAAATACACACTCGAAACAACCAACCATCTTTTGTTCTTCTTCATGACATATTAATGCATACTCTTTTCCATATTTGTCACCTTTATTGTTCGAATTTTTAACATCTCACATTTTTAACTTAACAAAAATATATATTTCATCACTGCAAATTTTAGCAATTTTATTCACTGCATTATAATATCGCTGTTTACCTGTTTGTTTATTTATTTGTTTACTTCTCCCATGACCGGTCCGCCCCCCGAAAAGCTTGTTTTTACAAGGGGAAAACTAAAAAGGGGCTAAATTGTTTTCAAAAGAGGAGGGGACAAAATTATAATTTCCAAATCAAAAGCATAAATGGGTGTGATCATGCCTCAGTAAAAATACTAAAAAATAATAAAATCAAGTCCTATACAGAGACAAAAAGCAAAATATACTCCGCCCATCTAAGCTAATTTTTCAATACCTCTTTTAAAACACAGCTCAACTATCTATTAAATCAACTCGAATTTCTTTATTTAAATTTTTCAATAAGATCAAGCAGGTACACCACATGAATTGCACTAAAAAAGCTCCGAGTTACAATTTTATTTGTAATTTTCCGGATGTCTTCGGGCAAAAAAGTAGATTTCTGCAAGAAAAGCATCGTGTTATAATAATCAATCTATAGCATTTTCGTTTTTAACATCAACCTAAGCCACGCCTTCGTTTTTGCTAATATTATTAATCACAACACAGTTGTTCTTTCATTAAAAAGTAAACAGCTCAAAATATTTTTCCTGCCTGTTCAAAGCCCGGCCCCTATAATCACTGCAAACAAAGTACCATAAAACAGTCAGTCTAAGTCTGAGTCGTTTAAAAATTCATACAAACCAACAAATCCCCACAAATGCATTAGGCAGAAAAGAAGACAACTAGTAATGCATTAACTACCTATCAATATTACAGACAAGTATAACCTTAAAAGCATTTTTAATTACAACACTAATCAACGAACATAAGTGAGTGTCTTAAAACTCAGTGAAAGCTAATTTTCTGCATTCCAAATCGAACTTTCTTTATTTCAAATGTCAGCTTTTAATTTCTAGCTTGATCAAAAAACACACGAAATTAAATTGATTCAATCTGACAGGCGCACTTTGCATAAAAGAAAAACTGAAAAAAAAACTAAAGAGCCGAGTTTTGATTTCTTCAGTCGCTCAAGATTTTTCGGAAATATTTAAAAAATAATAAAACGGCAAAATACCACTCTTTTTAAGAGATATTTGACGCCTTATTTCAGAAAATTGAAGTTACTAACAAGGCCCATTCAACCCATTAACAACCTACGCCAAAAGCACCCAAGTTGTACTCGATGCTTTGCCCTTGTAACGACAACCCTTTTTTCCAATCAGTTTTCCAAATTTCAATCACAATGTTTTTGTTCATTGTCATATCCGTCTATTTAAAGTGAAAACTTGGTTTATAATTTCAAAACCCTTTATTATAAAAAAAATTGCATCTTCAAAACTCAAGAGGAAAACACAAAAAGCTTGGCGTGAAAATGAGAAAAAAAAGATTTAGTTGATTGATTTTAAATTATTACTATTTTATAAACCTGCGAGCTGATTTCAACTTTTATATGCAAGTTATACAATTGACTTTGGCGCCATATGGATCAGCCTAGCAGGCGGAAAGAGCAAACTCGATTCTGGTTAGTGATTTCTATTATAACTCAGACCATTTTAGTTATCGTCACTTTAGGCATCACTGCATCACGCACTCATGTTTCCGATTCCAGCTGAGAAACTTTAACTCGATCTTAGAAAAAATCAACATTCTTGGTGCTACGCATATTTGTTCATTTTTACAGTCATAAATAAAGTTTGCTGTGAAAATTATCATTCTTTCAGTTGGTAACGCGGCGCTCTAAAATTTGAGACCTTTTGCTAACCTTTGGTTTTTTCAGCTTATGTCAGATTCACATGAACAAAAGCTAAAAAACCAAAGATAAACAAGGTCTCACGAAACTAACGCCGCCCATTTCTATTCGCATGATTGATTAACTGAGGTGATTTAACATGCTATACCACTTCTATTCGAAAAATATTTTATGAAGCTGGACCGAGAACTTTGCAGGTAGGTCAACTTAATAATATAGAAAATTAATTATGTCTGTTAGAGAAAAATCTTGAAACCAAACTAACATATTTCTGCTTACATATTTCTCTGTGTGATGTCATTTTGAAGACCCTTTGGATAATGTTTGAACTCAGATTTTTTTAAAAAAATTTATCTCAGTGTCGCAAAAAATTGCGGTCGGAACATTCTATGCTGCTCGCACAGCACGCGGCTCTCGTTGCATATTTATTGAAAGCTTCTCTAATTCAAGATGAAATTTACCAACCATTAGAACTATAGTGGATACCAGGAAAGCAATTTGAAAAATGAGGTCTCAAAAAAAACATTTTTTAAACGATAAAATCAAGCCAAAAAATAGGACGAGGGATCACAAACGGTCCCTTTGATTGATTTTTGAACTCAGATTTCAATGAGTGCTCTCATTGCCGGTTTTCCACTATAACTGGAAATGGAAAGTTCAAAATCAGTCCTTTTTTTAGTTCTTTCAAACACCTACAACTGTCTGCTGTTTATGTTTCTCGAAAGCAGATTCCAAGAATTACACAGAAGCGAAGCTGCGCTTCGTAAACACTAGCGAGAGTACGACAAAAAAAAGCTTTATTAAGTGAAATAACAAAAGATAGAAATAAGCCTCGAATTAGAAAATGCTACATGCTACATATGGGGTTGGAATCTGCGACCTTGAGAATTAAAGTCCCACGCCCAGCCCTCTCGGCGACGAACGCTTAACAAACGGCAAACAATAGTCACAAACAAAGCATGCTAACAAATTTCTGATGATATGCAGCAAAAGTGGCACCAAAGACAAATAGACACAATTTTGCAAGTAATAGTTTGGAATATAACAAACTGAAGGCATCGACACTAAATTTGCATGTAATAAATAAGAAAGTAGAACGCCACATTATGTATACATTATGCATTTCAAAAAATTGCGAGATATGTCGAGGTAGAAATTTTCTGAAATCTAAGTTTTATTATTGTTATGTTGTTGAAACAAATAGCTTTTTTCGGTTCATTTGATGAATTGAAAATGTATCAACTGTGTTAACTTCTTACTATTCGAATGTCAAAGCACATGCTATCCCAAACCGTAAATTTGCACCAATATTTGCGACTTAGCTTAGAATAAGTCGTAGTATAACATCACGCTTACTAAGTTTCGCTAGTGTAATCAGTCTATAGAGTTTTGCAAATTTATAACGGTCTAATTCGACTTCAAAATAGGAAGGAGGAACTGAAAAAAGCGAAATCTATTCCGTGCTCTCATTGCCTGTTTTCAATTTTCGAGTCACGTTAGACAGTTAGTAAATTGCCAAGCTCCATAGACTCATCATTCTTGGAAGCTGACTTAAATTACTGTAAACAGTTGTAAAAGTTCCAAAAAACTTTTAAAAACACAAAAAACGACTGATTGAGTAATTTTGATGAAAAAAATGGCATTAAGCCCTCAAATTTCAAGAACCATGCATGATTGACAGATTTATGATATAATTAACCAAATTTGAAAACAAAAGATCAATAGGTAAAAAATTTTATTCCGGTGGGAAATATAAAGATAGAAAACATTTTTCGTTACTCAGGTTTTTTCACATCCTTTGCTGTTTTGTCATCGGAGAGCGAAATTTGCCTTCCTTTGCAAATGAATTTGAATTGAACTTACAACAAATCAAAACTCAACCCGCGAAAAACCAAATTAGAGCATGAACAACTTTTAAGACTTTTTCCGAAAAAAAACACAAGACGTAAAAAAATTGTTTTTCCTTCGTTCATCGACACTTTAAAAACTAATAGCCGCTTGCTGTGTAAAAAAAACAGAAAGCTCTGAACATATTCAAAAAAAGCTACAAAAAAGTTCTTTTTCAATTATTTTGAAACTAGAGTCATTTTTTGCGTTACTTCTTTTCGAACTGAAAGTTTTAGCGTGTATTAGAAAAAACGCGTTAAAAGCGTGTATAAAATAGTCTTTACGCGTGTTACGTTCTTCGAATTGAATTAATAAATTATTTGAAGAGAATTTTCTCGAAAAAAAACAGGCCGGTAAATAAGCCGACAAAAATTTAAACACATTTCGAATTGAATTAGAAAACTAATTGAATAGAATTGAATTTAAAAATTAATTGAACAGAATTTTCTCAAAACACCCGGCAAATAAGCCGACAAAAATTGGGCCGAAATCATATAAGCCTACAAAATAAAACAATTGTACATCTAAAAATTTTTCAAATAAATACCAAGAAAACAACATCAGCAAAAACCAACGAAATAACAGCAGTAAATACCATCAGAAAATAACAACAAATAATCAATAAATACGACAAAAAATTGGTTAATAATGACTCACTCACCCAGGAACTTGACCTCCTTGGGACTGTGTTTGGTGGGCTTCTTCTCCACGTAGTTGGCGCCAGGCCACTTCCTAGGGCCATTTATGACCATGTTCTGCAGCATGGCCAGGTTGCTCTTAGTCACTCTCTGCGGGTAAGTCATGTTGGTTGCCACGTACACTGGAACTGCCACCTATGCCAATTGTTTAGCCAGTCATTACCTTTCTTAGATAGTTTTAAGTGAGGTTTTTAAGATCTTATCGCATATCTAAATCCGAACAAAAAAAAAACTAACAATTGGAATCTAAAAACTGAATAAAACAGCTCCAAAATCAACAAAATCTCAAGTTTAATTAACTCCCTGAAATTTTTTGGAGCTTATGATCCAATGCTAAGCTATGGTTCCTTTCCATTTCGTCAATGGTCAGTCGGAACAATCAATCCAATGGAGGATGCCAACCTGGTCTATGCGCATGTTTGGGTCGGGTGATATGACTGTCCTGCCCGAAAAGTCCACCCTCTTGCCCGACAGATTCCCCCTGAAGCGGCCCTGTTTGCCCTTGAGTCTCTGGACGAGGGACCTGAGGGCAACTTTGGGCTGGTACTGGGTGGGGATTCCTGGCGTCTGGGAGTTGATGTAGAGTGCACACTGTAACTGCAAGTAGTCCCAATCTTCCATCACCTACACAACATGCAGGTAGAAAAAAATAAGAAAGGAGAAATTAAGACTCCTTTCCCTCCCCCCTATTCCCACATGCGAGTTCTACTTGAACCATTTTTCTTTTCATCATCTATTTTAATAAATATTGGCAATCCCAACCATATTTGGCTTTCATATATAACCAAAAAAAAAGATGTTAAATGAGCGGGGGGGGGGGGGGGGGTTCGTTCTAGTCAAAATTCAATTGCTGCAAAAATCAATTCAACTTAAATTTTTAAATTGAGCTAGATATAATATATTCTGATTCCTAATTGTGCGTGAATTGATACGTGACAAAAGGTAAGCTGCAGTGTGATACGGACACTTTGCTTTTCTTCTGATTTAATTGGTCGATAATTTCCCTTCTCAAAAACGCTTCAAAAGGACATTTGTTCAAAAAAAGACTAGCAAACGCCAAAGCTTATTGTATTGGTAAGGTTTTGGTATAGCTGAAATCAAAATGACTGGCCTAAGAAAACATAAAACAATCAATCCATCTTCGATCAAAACTATTCTTAACTCGCCGCTGAAAGTAACATAATAACGCTGCCATTATATGACAATAGCAACAATTATGCGTTCAAAATTATGGGTTAATTTATTGAAACCATTAATTTAAATTCATATTGATTGTTTTTAACAATCATGTCATTATTTTATTCTGTGTATGAGCTGACCATCTGAGTTCTGGCGTTTTTCTTGTAGTGTGTGCGAATGATGTCGTTGAGGAAGATGATCTCTGCCAGCTTCACACTCAAGTCGTCCTCCCGTGTGCCCGCCTTGAAGTCGGACGCCACCGACGGGCGAATGCAGAGTGGAGGCACTAGTATTTTCTGCAAAATCAGGTCCGCCGGCTTGCCCACACTCTAGAACAAGAGACGGAACTTCATCTAATGTCTTTCCATGTCAAAGTTGACTAAACGATTGTATCATTTTTGATGCTCACGTGTGGTCGAGAGAAAATAAAAAGAGCATTTTGATATACAGTGTAGTGTGACTTAAATTATGCGGACAAAACGAATAAAACTTGAAAATTAAAACGAGTTTATCTAAAATTGGGTTGACTTTAAGCAAAAAACGACAAAGACACAACTTGCCAAGAATTTAGGCAGAATTATTAATTTGCAAAATTATTAATTTCGCAAGAATCGGGCTCAAAATTTAACCCAAAACACGATCATCTTTAGTTTTTCAAAAATTACGCCAAAACTGTTGGTTCAATTGCAGACAAAATGACATCACAGTGAGCCTATCACATAGCCCAACAAAGCTTAAGACGACTATAAAAATCTCAATTTTGTATGAAACAACTTATTTTCGTTGCATAGCCAACAATTGCCATTTTTATCAGGCTCTCTATCATTCTATTTTATCAGCAATTGAACCTATAGCTTTGGTGTAATTTCTAATTGACTAACAAAGCCAATAAAGATCATTTTTAGGGTAAAATTTTGGGCATAATTTTTTGATAACTAAATACACCATATTAATTTCAAAATCTGAGCAAGTTTTGTCTTCGTCATTTTGTGTCTCAAGTTAAACCAATTTGAGAAACACGCGTTTAAAAAATCAGGTTTTAATCTCTTCGTCCGAATAGTTTAAAACAATAGTTTGACTGTTGAAATTATTTGAATGAGGCTATTTTTGTTCAAGTTTTTTGATGATGCATATTTTAAAGATATTGATTATCAAATAAAAACTCAAAACCTGTGAATGAACCCGTGGATAAATTTCAACTTCGATACAAGTATTGATAAGCGTATTGAAATTTGTTCCGGAAAATAGCATTGTAGGCTAAGCACGAAAACCATGAGACCAAAGCTATGACGGCAAAAAAAAACGATTAAAAACTTTGCTCAGACTTTTGAAAAAAAAGCGGAATATTTATGCTTGGCTGGTCAACTTATGACATTTTACTTAAGCATTTTTGACGGAATATTTTTATACCATCTGAAAGCTATTGTTGCCTGGAGCTAAAATTAAAAAAAAACATCTGTGATTAATTGTCGATAATTAATAGATGTTTGAAAAATGCTAGCTTGCCCAATTTGGGATAAATAAATAGCTAAATATTGCGTTCTTATAATACGCGTAAGCGGTGGGATAATGCGTTCCATATTAAATTGAGAAAAGGAGCGTTCCAAATAAAATGAGCGTTCCAATTAAATAGGATACGAGACGCTAAATAGATCCCTCCGTAGTTTACATTAGCATGCAAAGAGATGAACTGAAGAAAAAAATTTCTTTTCAATTATTTCGTCAATTTTTTGACCAAGTAACTTTTTAATTGACACAAGATTGCAATCGAAACATTCAGGGTTTCGCCCTGATATACAAGCAGTCTTGTTTTTGTGAAAATGTTGTTGCAATTTTCTTCTTGAAATGAAACTAGAAAAAGAGAAATGACGGCCGAACTCGCAGCTAAGCCCATTTTATGTTCAACACCCGTTGAACAAAAAAATAAGCATTCAGCTCTAAAAATTTGAACAAAAATTTTTGAACTAGAACTTTGAGCTAGACCCAGTATGTAAACATGCATAAAATCCACAGTCATCATTTAGAAGGATGTAAAATGAGGTAACTAAGCCATTACAAAATGGGTCAAAAACTTACTGCCGAAAGAAGCTAATACAAATAATAAACCACTCGGAGGTAAAATTACAATCAGAACTAAGGGCAAATTTTGCGAAGATTGAACTCATTAAAAAAGCTGAAAAAAACCTGCAACAAATTTGACCTCAACTTTCATCAACTTATCAGCAAAACTGTTAGACCAGCTATTCGCCGAAAGAAAGTCTACGCGCATAATTGATACCGCTTGCTGACTCTTGATGACTCGGTTTTTTATAAAGAATTTTTTAAAACAAATTTGAAATTTGAATAAAAACAAAAAATGAAACATTGTTTTCACATGCATTCATGTTAGCATACTTGACGTAAATTCCTGATTTTAAAGTTGGTTGAGTTTCTTAAAGTTTCTAAGTGGCAAAATCAATTAAAATATAAAATTCAAAGTTTTAATTCATCGCGAGGCAAAAACACCTCCATCTGAAATAGTGAGACGATTCGTCACAGCTGCTTTCAAAAATCTGACGGCGAAAATTTGATGTTTTCCAAGCTTCAGCAGGTTTGAGATGACTTAACTTTGCACTTTGAAATTTTCGTCTGAAAACTCTGAAAAAAATGCAAACTATTGAAAGATGTTCGGAAGTTAGTTTTTTTGGAAGCTAGCTTTTGGAAGTTAATTTATAAGTCAATGTGGAAGTCGGCTTTTTTGGAATCCAAACCACGGTCAAAAGGTTTTAAATGCGATGAAAGACGAGCCCTTTCTTTTAGGTATTCGATACACTTTTGAAAAACAAACAACACATCATACGCCAGATTTCCTTACCTTCACTTCGTGAAATGGTCGAAACTTAAACAATAACTTCGCAAATTATTGTTCTGACGACGCTGTGATGGACAATTTTTGATTCCGGTGTGAATTATTCTAAGCAAATGAAAGTCCTTTTTTTCTTAAGTTATGTTTTGAAACTCTAAGAAAAAACATAACTACTTTCCCTCTTTGGATTTCAATAAAATCTAATATTGACGGTCTTTTAAAGTAAACCAGTTTTGGAAAAAGTTAGATCATTAGATAATTTGTTTTATACCGCAGAGAGATCTTGAAAAAATCTAATTTTGTTGATCAACTAAAATGTGTTGTTTTTTTTACGTTACTGGAATCTTAAATTTATTTCATGCAAAACTGAGCTCTAAAATTTTTTCACAATTTCATATCATATTGTTTTTCACAATTTCAAATGGTCAAGGTGATCGTGATTAAAGTATTGTGAGCTACGAGCGAACCAACCAGTCATTACTTTTTAGAAACAATTAGCACAGGACTCGCACCAACGGTGCTTCAAATAAAAATTGTCGAACGTAAAAAGAGTTTGCTAAAACAGGTACCAAAACAGCGATACTTAATGCAATCGTGAAGATAAAATGTGCTCATCTATCAAGGCTATCAAAACTTCATATATCGAAAACCAAAAGGATTTTTTTTTCATAAATCAAGCTATTTAAAAAAAATGAAAAAATCATAAAAAACGCCATTTGATGAAAACGAAAAGGATTCGAGCAATCACAATTAGACGCCATAATTGCAACCCCTGATTGTACCCTGAAAGTTACCCATTATAAGGTTGAGCGTTTCAAGTTCGGTTAGTTTTTTATATCTAAAATTTAAGACATTGAAAAAAAAAACATAGTCATAAAAAACACCATATCTCACAAACCGAAAGAATTTGAGCAGTCATTTGGAACTTCTGAGTGTATCCTGACAGTACCCCACCCCACTATAGGGCTAAGAAAATCAAATTCGGTTAGTTTTTTTATATCCAAAACTTTTGAAAAAAAATGAAAAAAAAACATTTTTAGATGTCAACATAGGGTTTTCTTAAACATGTCTCAAATGAAACGCCAATTATATAATGCATAGAATTTAAGCATGAAAAAAGACTAAACTGATTGGTGCAAGAAAATCTAGTTTGCGACAAACGGTTGGTTCATAAACGCATCTGAGATAACTGAATTTATAAATGGCTAAGCAGCACTTCGCAAACGAAGCACGTCAAAGACAAGCTTTAAAAACGGCAAAAGCTTCGCATCTATTGCTTGGACTCGATTTAATTTGAAAAGTTTCTATGAGCCCGTCTGGATTTGGGACAATTCTCACAGCTCATTCAAGTACACCTAAGTCTTTGACTCAAGCAGTCTATTACTCCAGCAGTCTATAAAAGTCTATAATTCCAGCAAAATGACAATAGTCACACCTTCAAAAATTTAATTAGGTTTAAGAAATTTGTACAATTGAGCTCGCTAAGGTGCACAAAAAAACATAAACAACATTAATTTGATAAGCTTTGCATAGCATTGTAGGCTTGTGGAAATATTTAAAAACTCAATTTCAGCTAAATAGTTGAGGAAAACAACCACCATAATTACATAAGCTAATAGAATTAACAGAGCAGCCACCAAGCCAACAATGAGTAAGTAGACGCTCATCATTGAGCCACAAACAAAAAAAACGCCATAAATAAAACAATGTCAGAATAAAATTTTAGAGCGATTACGTTTTAAAACTACCATATTTTATACTACAACCGACCAGAATTATTTTACACAGGGGCAAAGCAGTGAAACGACAAATCGTAACAAAAACTCAAAAAATCGTAAAATTTGCAAAAATATCCAAAATCTTGGAACATAAAAAACTGCACCTTTGAAAATTTTACGGGAAGAGCGAAGCATCGCGCTACATGCAATAAAACATATACATTGCGGGACAAATTAACCAACGAAAATAGAGATGAAAGCCCTAGAAAAAATGATCGAAACAATTGATCTACCAAAAAGTTTCCTAAATTTGTCTTAATTTTGTCATAAATTAGATTCCTGTAACAAAAATAAACCAAAGATAGGAGAATGAATGTTAAATAAGCATCGAAACCAAACTAATAAAGCGGCAACAAAATCGACAATTCTTGAGCAGACACGTTGAGCCGACAGAAAAACTTTTTTATTGGAAATACTTAAAAATCCAAAAAGTTTTTAAGTCCCCCTCAAAACACTAAGAAAAAACACTTTTGCTGCTCAAACCTCTCAAAAATGCCTCTAAGCCGATATTTATAATATGAAACCTTTCAAGCCTCAAAAATGAGAAAAAAGGAAAACAAAACGAAAACAAAAACTGATATACTGATATCGGAGTTGGTGAATTTGCAAACAACATTAAAACTTCGAATAGAACGGACATTTAAAATGTATACAAATTCAAAAAATTGTCTGTTTTCTATCTTTTTTTTAGTTGAGGAAAGAAGAGATGGATCTTTGTCCTTTTTACCCAACCTCATCTGAGCATCAATTTTATGGTGTTATGAGAGGTTTTACGAGGTGATTATAAAAAATGCTTGTTATAGCCTAATTGTTGAAAAATGCTTGTTGAAAATGCTTGTTATAGACTAATTAGTCCGCATATAAGTTTTCATAAAAATCGGTTTGTGCGAACAGTAACTTTACTTGTGAAAAATTGCAGGTGGGGAAAAGAAAAAGAGCCGAAGAGATAACCAAAAATTCAGTCATCCTGTGAACAAAGTTACTTACGTGGAAAAAAAAGAATATTACCCCATAGTAATACCCTTGCTTATCGCAAGGCTAAAAAAATAAACATAGCCAACTGACAGTTGGAAAAACGTAATGAACGCAAGAAAATTTAAAAAAAAATGACTTTTTTTTTCAAAAACCTTTAACTTTTGAATATCGAAGACGTTAAAGCTCTTTGAATTTGCAGAACATATGATGATGGACACTTTTTTGTTAAAAATAACCCAATTTGGAAAAAATTTGATCAAAAGGCAAAACTTTTATTTCGCTGGGAAATCTTATAATTAATTTCCATTTTCGAAATTAGAAGTCGATCACGTTTTTCGTGAACTTTACACTTTTGCTGTTCGATAGTGGAGTTTACCTTCCTTTTAACAATGAAAATGCACTGAACTTAAAAGAAATCCTTAGTGAAGCAGCCAAAAATCAAAATTGAGCGTGAACAAATTTTAAGACTTTTTCCTCAGGAAAAAAAACCAAAAAAAAATCAGTAGGACATATATAAGAGTATTCAATACGTTCATTACTCTGAATAACCATTAATCTCAAAGTAGCAAAAAATGCAATAAATGGATTTTGAGTTGCAAAATATATCGTTTTATTGGTTACCGAGATCACTTAGTTCGAAATTTTTCAGCAGTTTACAAATGAAAAGCTTTAAAATGATATATCTAACGCTGTTGTACAATGTTTCCTTGATTTTGTGAGGTATAATAACTAACAAGCACACGCCTTTTCAGTACCGATAACTTTTCTTGCAACTGAAGTTTTTAATTTAATTGCCCTGCATCGGGTTGTTGACTAAAATCGAAATGCTAGGAAGAATCACTTGTGACAAAATGTTGAAAATGATCTGTGGATTTCTTACCTTGTTCATGAGTAAGAGTGCGATATCTTCATCCCTTATCTTCTCAAATAGACTCAAAACCATCACTGGGTTTAAAGGCTCCTGAATTTTAGTCTCATCAATATCCTTATGATTCGCTAACACATTCTCGAAATCCTTCCGCACACTTTCACTCATTCTGTCTTTGCTGGCTTTGGAGGCCGCACCACCTGAAGATGTCGAGGCCTTGTACTTCATGTGAACCAGTTTAAGAGCGCCAATTTTGAGGATCTGTCCGTTCTTCGCTCCACAGTAAGGACAGATGGCGTTCTTTCTGGCTCGCTCATAGATTGTCTAAATATGGAAGAGATCAACTGAAAACTTGTTTTCAAATTCAAAGCTTATTTCACAACAAACCCCAATTTAGCTTCTGCAGCTAACATTTTTTGTTGTGGCAAAATTAGGTTAAATTGAAGCCAATTAAAACACAGACGCGAAGTAGCAAATACAAGTAGAGAAAAAAAGCTAAAACACAATGTTATGAATATATTCTTTGAAAAACAAAAAACTAGCAGAATCGAACCAAAGAGCTCCGGATTGCGATTAGGTTGAGCAATTGTAAACTCGTTATAAAACACAAGGCTTTGCTAGTGTAATAATGTAGTGAGCTACCTTTCTGATTTGTTTCTTCTGCAAGTAAGTCAGATTGGGTCTCAGCACCTGTTTACGGAACTTTGCAACGTCATCCGTCTTCAGCAGAACACGTGCGCACACTTTACATATGGAAGTCAGCACCTGGGAAAAAACACGAGCAGTTCAAAACACAGGTTTTGAGAAATCAGGAAACTGAATGCTTAATGATTTTAAAACTATAATGCTTTTCGTTGAAGTAATTTTTCGATACTATTTCAATGTTACCCTTCATACAATGTCAGGAAACAAATCAGCTACGGGCTGCACGATCAATGTATTTATTTTCTGTACTCACGTAAAGCGTTCAACCTATTCCGAACTAAATATCTTCTAAATACCTGATTATCACTTGCAAAAATGCAGCTTGTCATTAAACTCATTGATTTACAAACATATCCGTCAAATTTAGCCTTCAAATGCAGAAAAAGGCGTGAATAATCTCGTCACTATGCCGCACAAATATCTATGGTCAAATTTGATAGGCTGAAAAATATTATTTTTAACCAAAGAACTATCTCCCTCCTAAACTGATTTAGGGGGAAGATTGTTCACTTGGTTCCATTAATCTTCGTCAGGTGTAAATATAAGTCTCGGACAGAATATTAACTAAAATAGTCCAGCGTCTAATTTCCACTTTTCCACAGTCAACATCATCATCGTCAATTTCAACACCTCTAATGACCGATCTGTATGAAAACAATCTAAGAAAAAGGAAAGTACTAGCCTGTTTGATTGACTTGAGGTATCCCACGTGAAAAACAGGAAGTTCAAGGTCGATGACGCCGAAATGACCGATACAGTCTTCAAAACTGAGGTTACATGTCGAGCATGTTTTGCCTTTTCCGCAGACACCTAAACATTTGAAATGAAAATGAGTCAAAATAGTTATGACAATTTATCCACCACATACGGAAAGGACCAACATACGAGCTGTTCAACTCTTCGCGGATAACAGCTATTAAACCCTTGCTTAAGAATTGCATGCAACTTTTTGGGCTATTTTTCTGGGCTGGGCAATGTTGCCTCAACGTCAAGAAACGAGTACGGATCATGGTGAGACTCGAACATCAGCCCTTCTGATTGAGAGGCCGAGACGTAACCACTTCACTATCGCTCCCCTTAACATTAACCGCATACATCCGAAAAAGAGAAGCATTAAACTATGAAAAGGAGAATCTTTTGCCGAAAAATTGAGCATGAAAATAGGATAAACTACATCGTATACAGACTCGAAGCAGATTTGCACCACTTGCGATATGATACATACACTGCACGACAAAATAACTGCGCACAAAAAGAACAAAAAACCGCTGTAGAAATGAAAATAGAAAATAACGCAAAAACAAAAACTAGATCTACCATAATTTTCATACATTTGTCATGTAACCTCATTTGTTTGATTTCAGAAAAAAAACATGTCAATAACAGCACATAACAACAAAGAATTACGAAGCGGTCACAAGGCCGGCAATGCTTGAGCAGACACCCGTTGAGCCAAAAAAGAAATATTTTTATTTAAAAACTTGGAACATGAAACATCTTGAAAATTTCAATATGAGACCGAAAAAACCGATATAATATAAGTCAAAAATTTTGATGCCGATTAAATAAAATTAGACAAAAAAATAAAAACTTAAGTTCAACAAATCGGAGTTAGTAATCTACAGGTCAATTTTCGAATATAACGGGTATGTCAAATGCAGACATGCTCGAAATATCTTTTTTGATTGACGAAAGTACAGACGGAAAGATCAGCTGAACTTGGAGATCCTGTAAACGAAATCAGTTACGAGAAAAAAAAGTCCATACCCGGTTTAAAGTGTCGGAGCCATTATTTTCGCACTGTCTATAACTTTTAAAGTGACACCACTCTAGAATTTGTTGCGACCACTCTTAAGGATTCGGAAGGAATTATGGCAGAGACAGGTGTTTTTGTCGCTTAACTTTGAACACTTTCGGTTTTTAGACTAACTTACAGCACGGTAACGATAATCACTCCTATGATCTCTATGAATTCTATGAAGATAAAAAAAATTTAAATAGAAATTCGTTGGTCCGACAATTCTATATTACTTAAGCATCACAGCTACCGTTGTCATTTCAGAATGATTGTACTCCAGTCAACAACACACCACCACCCCACCCACCAACCCCCCCCCCCCCCCGCACCAAACTATCACATTTGCATCCAGTCAGCAGCTAGTTCTTACCCAGTCTGGGATCCAGCACCCCATGTGGAGTGGGGGAGTGGTTCTGGTCTGCCAAGTACATGTCCTTGTCCACACAGGGCACATGGGATACCCTCATCATCTCCCCACTGGACATCATGCCAAAACTCACGTGGGAAATAGATTTGGACTGGTTCAACTCGCGCCAAAGTTCCTTCACCATCTTTACTATTACTAATATGATTTTTATTCACAGCACTCAATTCAGATGGCCAACTCAAAACTACTTCAATCTTTTCTCCAACACACAATTCGTTGGCTATGGAGGTACTAACTATAGTCATGTTGCAAAAGTGATCATCACAATCACAACTCAGTTTTTTCCAATGAATTGTTTTGAATTTATAAAGACTAATACTTTCGAGCTCGATAATTTACAGTTTTGTGAACACGAATTTAAAATGTTTTACAGAGGCGAAGCTGAGCTTCGTACCACTTATGATACAAAATGAATGCCTGTGATTAAATCGTTTTTGTCAACAAAAAGTATAAAATGTGCACCAAAAGCTCAAAAAATTCGGAACAAAATTACGTGCATCATTAGAAATTTTACAAGGAGCTTTCAGAATGCTAGAAACAAGCCGAATTCTTTTTAAAATCCTTTCTGCGAAACAGCCAACAAAAAAAAACAGACCATAATCTTAACTAGTCGAAAATTTTAAGTTTGCAAAAAACAACAGGTCTTAACTAGAATCGAACTCCCGTGCTTTGTCGTCTCAAGCATGGGTGTTACAGATCCTGGGAAAAGACTGAGCCTCTAAACAAAGATGGGCTACGGAAACTACGCCGAAAAAAATAAACAATAGTCCGGAAAGCACAAAAACACTAGTTTTCAAGAAACAAGACGCGTTCGGATTCGAACTAAAAACCTCTGCCGTCTCAAGCATTTGTGTTCTCCACGCCAAATGTGCCGGATGGTTGATTCAATTTGGTAACAAAGTCGAAAAAAACCACAGCACAAACTGTTCGTACCGAAAAAAAAGTTTAAGTTGCCCTTCCCCGAAGAACACACACAAGCACAGAAAATGTTTTTCGCTCAACTAACGACGCAATGAAAAGCCACAAAGTCGATATCACATAAGCCGAAGCCTATTAATTCGGAGAACAACAAAAACTGAAAAAATGAAATTTTAACAGATCTGGTTGGCAAAACTACAACCAACATAGAAAGCAAATTTCGATTAAGCCGTATAATTAAAATGCTAAAATTACGTATGTTGCAATAGAAAGGCACAGTAGATGAATGAGACCAGGAGATGGATGATTCCTGTAAACAAAGTTATTTACAGGAAGAAGTATATTTCCCGATTGCAAAATAATTGCTTATTGCAAGGGTAATAATACAAGTATTCGATTTCAATATTAGAATAAATCTAGTTAGACTGAAAAAAAAATTAAAAACAAAGATTTTTGGAGTCAAGTCAACTACAAAAAAAACTGTGAATTGCAATTGCGATGGCTTCTGCAACACGCCTGTAATTCCTTCCAGGGTAGACAGTAGACTGAGTCTCTTGAAAAAAGACCATATATCTCAGATTCTCATTACAAAATCTGAAAACAAAACAGATATTCCAGTGGTCATTTTCTTAATTTTTCATGCTCCTTTAGTCCAATTATCATGAGTTCTGAACCCTTCATACAAAACCTTGTAGTCGAAGCTTATGGTTCGAAGCTATAAAGTCGAAGCTTATTTTGGTAGGGAAAGGAATATCGGTGCAAGACTCAAGAGTAGGGACTGAACTATATTCAACATTCGTCGAAAATTAAGTTTTTGAGCTACTGAAAAATAAAAAGTGACGAGATCGCTTAGTGCTTCTGACATTCATTCTCTTGCTGAAAACAAACGAATCTTGGGAACAACCTTCATTACATCAATTTGCTTACAGGTGCGGGTTCCCCGACATCATAATTTTACTATAAACATATAGGTTTTATTGTTTGTGGATTCCACAGCAACTTTGAATAATACAGTGTTTCAGCTATTTGTTTGTGGAATCCAAAACAGCAAAGATAAAAAAATTGCGGTTTCCGCGACAAATCTGTCTGTGGCCTGTTGCGGAATCCTCCTACAATTCACATAACACACAGTTTGGCGTCGCAATATTTGTTCTTAAATTTTTTTCTTCAAAACGACAGAAAAACCCTAACAAACGACAGAAAACACATGATCCAGTCACAATTTTTGTGAAAAAGTTCAAAAGTTCTGTAGCAATCATATTGTATTTGAAAACTCTTTAGTTTTTGAAAATTTGAAACCATATCCCAGAGTCTAAGTTAAATCAATCATTTAGAAGCCGATCTTCCAACCTCTAAGAGTTCCATGACAGCACAAAAATATGATTGAAAGTTTTGCAATTTATCCAAATCTAATTCTTGGAGAAAAAATTCAAAAAGCATAAAATACGCCACATCTCGGCTCTCGAAAGATTAGGATCAGTCGAAATTGGATTTCCTGTATCTAAACCCAAAGAGTAACTCAAAACTTCCCCATCATGGGCATGAAATTTTCAAGTTCTAAAAGCTTTTCTCAAATCTAAGTTTTTATGAGAAATTTTTTTTTAAATCTCACAAAAAACATCATTTCTCAAAAAGCAAAAGAAATTGCGCTGTCATATTTCGAGGGCAGATTTGCAACTCTGGGGCGTGTCCTGATAGCATGTCACCATGGGATTGAAATTTTCAAGTCTTAGTGTTTTTTAAATCTACAGTTTGAAAAACTAACGAAAAACAATAAAATCCACTAAATCTAAAAAACAAAAATTAATATCAGCAGTTATATTTAGAGGGCAGCATTGCAACCCCATAGCGTAACCTGAGAGCAAACCGCCACAAGGTTGTGTTTCGACCCCTGCCACTTTTTTGAATCTAGGTTTTAAAAAGTGAAAAAAGTCGAAAAAACACCGTATCTCAGAAAACAAAATGGCTTGAGAAGTAATACTTGGAGGCCAGATTTGCAACTCTTGAGCGTACAGTGAGACCTATTATACGTTTGACAGGTTCAATTTCTGTCCCGGAACCCATTAATTGTTCCGTTTCCGCAAGTTTTGTTGGAAATTCCATAAAAACTCTGTTTTTGAAGGAACTTTGATTAATACAGTGTTTAAGCTAGTTGTTCGTGGAATCCAAAACAGCAAAGAAGATCGAAGAAAACTCACAAATTTGACTTTGCACCAAATTCGACTTTCGTCTTTTGCGGAATCCGCTTACAATCCACATAACAGTTTGGCCTTGTAACGTAACCTAGACTTTCTGTGAAGACAAAGAAAGAACTTAAAAAACGCTAGCATAAACATGTTTCATTCATACATTGAAAAAATTCACAAGCTCAGTATCAATCAAACTTTGTTTGCAAAAACTCTTTAGATTATTGAAAATTTTCAAGTTTCAAGAACAATTTATGATATAACCCAAAAATCATCACGACCTATCTCCAGTTCCCTCATTGTCACTTAAGAAATTATTATACTCGCGTTTTAGTTAGAGTTTTCAATTGAGCCATATTAAATCAACACAAATTCAGAGAAGAACGTTAAATGTTTAGCATAGTTGAATAGAAACCTTATGTACACGTTTTTTCAATTTAAAAAACAATCATGAGTTTTGACTTCCCAGATACTCAACTAAATCTGCTAACGCTTTCGCACGATGCGAAATTTGATCTTTATCGTCTTTCGTCATTTCGCCGTAAGTCAAACTTGAGTGCTTCGGCAGAAAACAAGGATCCCAGCCAAACACCCTGGATCCACGAGGTGACACTATTTCGCCGTCTACTTTGCCCGGAAACAATTTGACAGGTTCTCCTGGACCCTCACAGTATCCAAAAATAGTTTGAGCTACTGCACTTTTGTCATCATAAGCACCCAGTAGTTTAAACAGGCCTTCGGGTCCCAACTTTTTCAGAAACCATTTGATATAAACACCAGGGAGTCCGTTCAATGCGTTGAAACACAGACTGGTATCTTCGATTATTACAGGACCCGAGTTCAAGGTTTTAACTGCCTCTAAGGTTTTAAGGCGCGCTACTTCTTCGGGAGATTCTGTAGAAGCGCTGGAATGATTAGATTCTAATGGCCGCTTTCAAATATGTCAGAAAAAAAAAACAATTTGGGATATGCTTGCATCATGCCTATTAAAGTATCAAAGCCACTTGTGCAAAAAGATTTATATATTAATAAGAGTTTTCAGTTGCGTATGAAGCATATACTGTTCCGAGAAGGACCTGTTTTCTAGCAGACCAGTTTTTCGCTTAAAAAGTGAAATATAGGGCTTGTTGCAGACTTTGATCGATAGCATTTCAGAACCTAGCCGAGCAAGCGGACCCTATATACCGATGCCGCGCTTGCAGATAGCGTTCGGACTTGTTATTTGTTTTGAGTCTGCTAATAGCCGGTCTGCTAAAAAACCTGTCTGGTAAAAAAAACCGTGCCCTAACAAAAATGACAATAATGCGTTAAATTTCGTTCCCTCTGCTAAGCTGTCGACCATAGTCTGCTTAAAGACATTTACTTCACTTTTATGCTTGAGTTTCATCTGCTAAAAAACCAGTCGCCATTTTGTATGAGAGAGGACTTTTCATCGGTAAGAGAACAGTCGCTCAAAGAAACCATTCTACAAAAGAGCAAAATCAGAATAATCTTCTTTCTTTTCCACCCACTTCTCTAGTCGCAAATTTATTAAATGATCATATACAGGAGAACAAATCAGATCACATTTTTCTCGAGCCAAAAATTCATTGAAAGTCTTTTACGAATTCAAAATCAATGTTCAAAGAGCTTTCATGTGATGCAGCACTCAACACCGAGTGAGCTTCTTTCAACAAGTTGAACCCACTCGGAACAGACCCCAATCTATACCACAGTTCTAACTCTTTTTATCAATGCTCATTATAAAGCAATATTTCAAAATGATCTTGAGAGGACTCGAATAAAAGTACACTTGCCTACACTTTTGCTCTATGATATTTGCAGATATCATCTAATCATTCCTGCTTGATATTCCGGAAGATCAATATCAAAAGCTTCAATTTCGATATCCGTGTTTCTGAGATTGTACCGAACTTCCTTGACTTTATTTTGATTACTAGATACCAACTTCAAGCACTTCATGACCTGAAAAACTAGGAGATATGATGGTTAAACGATTGTCATGATTAGACAAAGCACAGTCGATGAAACTAGTCACAACTAATCGCAATTTGACTTAATTTCGAAAACGTTTTGCGAAACCGCGCCAAAACGGCGACCGGGCTCAGTTATTTGAAAACGCATGCAGGTGAATTTTTTTCAGGAAATTGGTTTGAATACGGTTTCGGGAATTTCGGAAATATGGCTTACAAAAAGAGATAATGTAAATTTGTATGATTTAGAACCAAAAACACATGTGATAATTAGATTTGATAGACAATCTTCAATAAAACAAGAAAGATGACGTTGTTTTGTATTTTATAACAACTAGCTATCATCCAGTGCAGAAATTTCTGCATTCTGAAAGACTGAAGATTATTGTTCCGACTTTCGATACGAAGGTAACGGAATATTTGTGCTCGGGGTGGGTTTTTTTTCATCAGACAAATTTCGACTTTTCAACTAGCCATTTTTGACGGAATTTTTCATTATCCTTCAAAAGGTATTGTTGTCCCGAGCTTGAATTTGAAAAGATATTTCACCTGTGGTCATTTTTCGTAAAGTTATGAGGGTTTAAAGATTGCCATTTTGGGACAATTAACGCGCGATATAATTCGCGCTATTAACGCGTAAGCGGAGATTTAATCCGTCTTATAAATCGTTCCAAATTGGTTGAACGAAGCTTATTTGCCATAATTGATGTGTTACAAGGAACGAAAACTATCTTTTTGTACTTTATATGGCGTGTGGGGTGATGATTTTCATAAAAAATTTCAAATTTTAGAAAAAAAAATTTCATTTTATTTTATTTCATATTTTGTTGTTATGTTATTACTGCTGCTCCATAAACCTTCAAAAGCAGTCGGAACGTTCAGCGCTTCGCCCTGATACGAGCAGTCTTATTTAAATTATAAGCAAGAAAAATACCCGAATTATTTTTGATCAGTAAAAATGATTTGAGATTTCAAATCACCACTGCTTTATGATCAAGAAGCTCAAGGCAAAATACTATGCGGAGCTAAAAATATGGATCACCGTAAAAGTCGTCTTTTACAGAAACTAGATTGAAGGTCGAATGAGAAAAACACAACCAATGGCTGATTTGGACCAAACGAAAAAACAGAAAAGTAACAATTTACTGCAAACTATTACTGTGAAAACCATGAAAAGACAAAATCCCTGCACAGCTTTCTCCAAAAACAGCGAAAACATTACTGAAAAAGAATAAAAAGAAAATTTTATTTAAAATACATGATATTATAAAAATCACTAAATAACTGTTCGTTGCATGATAGAAATTAACACATTTTTGAGTTTTTATGTGAAACTGGGTGCAACGCTTTTACATCCAAAAGAAGATTCCTAGGTGTTTCTTTCAAAAAAATTCAAAAGAAGGCAAATCGTGGCAAAGTTAGTAGAAAAATAAAACC